ATATCAATGCACGAAAAATATCTGCGGCTATGATTGGTTGTGTAATATTACCAATTTAGAAATTGAATGCATTGTAATATGACCGAAAAGGAAGAAACATAACTAATACGTTGACCAATTAAATTGATTATCTATACTATATTTAAAAAGAGGTGAATTTTTCCCGCCAATATGTAAGAGTAATATATGGAAATGTTATGCATTTTACTCATTATATATATATATATATATATATATATATATATATATATATATATATATATATATCTGTGTGTGTGTGTATGCATAAAATTTAGTAAGCGTTAATTAATACTCCATAATTAATGGTAAATGGAATGTGTTAAGGGTAACTGTAAGATAATTGTTTATTTTATTCAATGAAAAAAATATTATTTTCATTGTTAATAAAAAAAGAGTAAAATTCCAACAAAAAAAGACATAAAACTAGGGGTGGCATTCGGGTCTAGGAACCGCGAGTCGGAACCGAACCGCCAGGTTCGGGCCGAGTTAGGTCCGGGTCGTCATTTCAAAAATTTAAAACGGTCCGGGTCGGTCTAGTTCCTATAGATTTTAGGGTCGGTCCGGTTCTTCATTTTGAAATTATTTGGGACCCGGACCGGACCGTTTTTTAAATACTAATATTATTTTTAATATTTTTTAGTAAATATACGGTATATCCACCTATTCCAATTAATTTTAGTAACTCTTTCGGTCCTTCCATATTCCAATTGTTTTTTGCAGGTTTTTTGGATTTTTTGGAAGTCATGAAGATTGTCAATTTTGCTCTTTTTGAAACATATCGATATTATAATGCCAAAATGTGGTTGTCTTCTTTTTGTTGTTGTTGTTGGATGATCATGGGATGTACACTTTACTCTCATGCCCTTATTTGTCATTGTTTTTTTCATTTATTCCTCTTTTTTGAACTTTGAAGGCATTATTCTATAATTTCTATTTGTTTTGAAAATGTTAGTATTATGATAGGTTCGGACCCGTTGACCCGTGGAATCGTCCCGTTTCAAACAAGCCGGGTTAGGTCCGGTTCCAATTTTAAAATTTTGAAACTCGTTCCGGCCCGGGCCGTTTTAAAAAAACAAGCCGAGTCCGGTTTATATAAATTTGGGCTCGGACCGGCCCTGCCCACCCCTACATAAAACAGAGACACTACAAGTATTGCTTTCTGTAAAAATGAATCACGGCAAAAAAATTTAGTTTCTTTTTATAAATGCTCCTTTGTTTTTATGGAGTATATACATCTCCACTTTATTAGCAATTTGACAATATGAAAAAAACACAATTAACTCTGAACATATTTTTTAACCAAAGTTTTAATTAATGTTATTTATATTTTAGTCATAGACAAATGTATGTTGTACTTTCAAGAGTAATAAACCATAATAACTTGAAGATTCTAATATGTAACAAAGACACTATTTTCACAAATTTATACGAGTAATTGAAGAATTATTATTTTATCTGATTAATACAATGATTCTACCTCCCTTTATATACAAAGTGGAGGGGTTTACAATAAGGAAACAATTTTATATATGGAGCCTATACAATTATGGTATGTATTATAATTGATACAAGGAATATACTTAACATATATAATAAATATGCTTAACATATTTAACATGCTACCAACTCCGTTGGAGATCTACGAATCCCAAGATTGTGTCGAAAGTCAATAAAGATAGTTGATGGTAGCCCTTTAGTAAAGATATCTGTGAACTGGGAGGAAGAGGGAACATGCAGGACTCGAACTTGACCCAGCGCTACTTTGTCTCTTACGAAGTGAATGTAAACTTCGACATGCTTGGTACACTGATGCTGCACTGGGTTGGAGGATAAGTAAATGGCGCTGATGTTGTCACAGAAAACAATGGTGGCTCGACGAAGAGGTTGATGGAGTTCAAGTAGAAGATTTCGGATCCAACTGGTTTCAGCAACAGCATTTGCTACGGCTCGGTACTCGGCTTCTACACTAGATCTGGAGGTGGTTCCTTGTTGTTTAGAAGACCATGAGACGAGATTGCCCCCGAGAAAAACACAGTAGCCAGATGTGGATCGTCGTGTGTCAGGACAACCAGCCCAATCAGCGTCGGAGTAGGCCTGAAGTTGATCGGTGGAGCTGCGGAATAGAGTAATCCCATAGGTAGAGGTGCCCTATAGATAACGGAGAACCCGTTTTAAAGCAGTAAGATGGGGCGTCCGAGGAGCGTGAAGATAGAGACATAACTGCTGTACTGCATATGTGAGATCGGGTCGAGTGAAAGTGAGATACTGAAGCGCACCAACAAGAGACCGATAAAGAGATGGATTGGGGACTAGATCACAATCTGTAGCAGACATTTTCCCTTTGGAGTCCACGGGTGTAGAGATGGGCTTACTATGAGTCATACCTGCTCTATCCAGAATTTCGTGGGCAAACTGAGTCTGATGTAGGAAAAGTCCATGTTTGGTGCGCTGAACATTGATGCCGAGAAAAAAATTAAGTTCCCCCATATCTGTCATGGCAAATTCTCCTTTTAAGCGCTCTGTGATCTGGGATGGGAGCATGGTCGTCGAGGCTGTGAGCACAATGTCATCAACATAAAGGAGCAAGTATGCCATGTGTGTGCCACGTGTGTAAAAAAATAGGGAAGTGTCAGTCTTGCAGCCCTGAAACCCGATGTGGTGTAGAAATCCAGCAAACCGTTGATACCAAGATCGAGGGGCCTGTTTTAAGCCATAAAGAGCCTTCTTGAGTTTGCAAACGTGGTGTGGGCGTGATGGATCCTCGAACCCAGAAGGCTGACTGGCATAGACGGTTTCCTGAAGATGGCCATGGAGAAAAGCATTCTTGACATCCAGCTGGTGTATGGGCCAGCCCCGAGCGAGAGCCAAACTGAGGACAATCCGGACGGTGGCCGGTTTGATGACCGGATTGAACGTGTCACTGTAATCAATACTGAAACGTTGGTTGAACCCTCGAACTACCCAACGAGCTTTGTACCTAGACAGATCACCTGTGGGGCCAAATTTGTGTCTAAAAAGCCATTTGCCAGTGATAACATTTTGAGTGGGGGAGGGGGGTACTAATTCCCATGTGTTATTCTTTATTAAAGCATTAAATTCATCACACATTGCATCATACCAGTTAGGATCTTTCAGTGCACTACGATAGGTTGGGGGAAGTGGTGAGATGGTAGCTGAAGTGTTGAGGTTTAGGATGGATTTGGGGCAGTGGATGCCAGATTTGGCGCGGTTGGTCATTGGGTGTGTATTTGTGGAGGTGGGGGGGTTGGGCTGAGCTTGCTCATTGGGCTGTGTCGTGGGTTGGGCTGAATGGGAGGGCTGGGCCACAGAGTGGGCTGGTATT